GCGGTAAAGAGGTCCAGCTTTTCAGAGTCAGCGGTAAAGAGGTCTGCACATTAAAAGCGGGTGGCCGCTTTATGCTGTGACTTACGGTAACATTGGAAAGAGAAGCCGCAGGGATGATGGACTACTTCACACTAAAACTGAAAGTCACTGTGTAGAACAGTAGAGGGCGTCACTGTGAACAAGTGTGCAGTGAAAGTGTTTTGTTTTAAAAATAATTAATGTTAAAAAGTGAATTGTGTATTTGTATTTATTTGATCTCCATTAGTTGTAACAAGTACATCTATTCTTCCTGGAGTCAGTCATGTTTTACACCAGTTTTCACCAACAAGTGATACAATAAACTACACCCCCCCCCCCCACACACACACACACACACACACACATAACATACATACTTACACACACAACATACATACTTAGACACACACACAACATACATGCTTACACACACACACAACATACATACTTAGACACACACATAACATACATACTTACACACACAACATACATACTTACACACACACACAACATACATGCTTACACACACACGCAACTGTACAAAGGACCTAGAAATATTCAGACAAAAAAAACAAGATTAATCTGACTCTTAGCAGCAAAACACTTGGTCACATGACACAACTTCTGATATCAACCAGTTACATGAAACAGATGTCTTTTCAGAAGGGCCTTAAATTGGTACTTAGTGTTTGCATGAGTAATGTTACTGGGCAAAGTGTTCCAACCACACATGGCTCTATACATCACAGTATTTCTTCCATTGTTAGTTCTTACTTTGGGCAGTTTAAATCTGCCCTCTGTGGCATGTCTGCTTTCATAATGAAGCTCTTCCAGACTAAAATTTAGCTCTGTACAATACATTTGGACCTTTTACTTGTAATTATATTCTGGTTACATTCATTAAGGAACCAGTGAATCTCTTTCACCTTGAGCCAGGACAGTGTATCATGCATCCAGTTTACATTTGTTCTGATGGAACACCGAAGAGCACAGCGAGCTGCTCTATTTTGGACAGTTTGTAAAGTCCTTACTTTTATTACTGCAGCACATGACCATATGATTGAGCAGTAATCTAACTGTGACAACACAAGTGTTTTTAAAACATCTGCAGTCATACTGGAAGACAACATATGACAACATCTTCTAACCACAGCGAGGCCCCTCCCCATTCTACTGGCCCCCGCACTGATATGCTTTGACCAAGACAACTCATTATCAAGTTCAATACCAAGCAGTCTGGTCTGTGGCACCTGCTCCACAGCTACGTCTCTGACGACAAGACTCAATTTGGGTTCATCCAGCAGCATATGTTTTGTTCCAAATACAATACTTTTTGATAATGCTCAGAACTAGCTTGTTGTTGGTAACCCACTCACATACTAATTTTAATTCCCCCCTTAAAATTATTTCCAGCTCTTCAACCGTATTTTGTGATGAATAAATGGTTGAGGTGTCGGCATACATTGCTATTTTTGATTTTTGTAATACTAGTGGCAAGTCGTTTGTAAAAATAGAAAACAGGAGAGGTCCAAGGCAGCTTCCCTGAGGTATACCACAGCCAATTGTTTTTACGTCTGAGAAGCTTACATTGAAAAATACAGTTTGTTTCCTGTTTTCTAAATAAATCTCAAGCCACAGTGATGCCGCTGGACTGAACCCATAACATTGCATCTTATTCAGCAGAAGGTTGTGATCGATAAGATCAAAGGCTGAGCTGAAATCCAGCCACACAGCTCCTGCTAACCTTTTATTGTCTAATGCTGCCAATTAGAGCCGCAACTAACGATTATTTTGTAATCGATTAATCTATCGATTATTTTTACGATTAATCGAGTAATCGCTTGGCTGTGAATTGTGTAGAAAAAAAATATTTTTTCATCACAAAAAGCTAAAGTGGCAACACTCGAGGACGTATTGATGGCGTAAACTTAAAGTAAACAGGCTCTTTGTGCTAATTCTGCTCTGATTGGATGAGACAGACAGATATTCATGAAATTATAAAAACAAAGTCGGTTTTAATCAAAAATACTACATTTTCATGTCATTTTTGCTCTGTTTGAGTCCGTGTGAACCAGAAAACGATTAATCGATTACTAAAATAGTTGTCGACTATTTCAATAATCGATTAGTCGTCGATTAATCGATTAGTTGTTTCAGCCCTACTGCCAACCAATCGTTTGTCATCTGAGCCATAGCTGTTGCAGTCGACCTGCTCTGTATGCATGTTGGAAATCTGTATTGAGGTTGTTATTAGAAAAATATTGTTGAATTTGATCAAATACAATCCTCTCCATAATTTTGCTCAGAGCAGGCAGCAAACTGATTGGTCGACTATTAGGACCACAGAATGGAACCCTAGTATTTTTTGGTAAAGGCACAATTTTTGCCGTTTTCCAAGCCTGTGGATAAACCCCCTTTTTAAGACTTAAGTTAAAATGTGTGCAATAAGAAGAGCTACTAATTTTGCTGCAATTTTCAATTTTTAATCAATATTATCGCCACCAGATGGTTTTTCTTTACATTCTAATAATATTTTTTCCACTTTGCTCACATCAACAGTAGTAAACTCAAACTCGCAGTTCTTTCCTGCCATAATATTATTCCTTATTAGATATTCTGCTCTTGAGTTATCAGTTTGCCCCATATCACTTCTTCGTTGATCTACTTTATTACAAAAATAATTGTTTAAGTGATTGGCGATATCCAGTGGCTTAGTAATAAAAGAATCCTCTGATTCAAGGAATGAAGGAGTTGTTCTAGAATTTCTTCCCATCATATTATTCAGGATACTCCATCATTTCTTGTTATCATGTTTCTCATTTATGATCAGATTTTTATAATACTATTTATTTTTGTTTAATTTAGTTGTGTAGTTTCTCAATTTCCTGTATATTTGCCAATCAGATTCATAATTAGATATAGTTTCCACTCTTTTAGCCTCTTCTCTTTGGACCATGCAGTCTTTAAGTTCAGCATCAATCCAACTCTCACATGTTTTACCGTTCTCTTTTGTAAAGGAGCGTGTTTATCACTTGTGAAAACATATTATTGAAAACTTCTACTGCTTCATCTGGACTGTCATCAGTACCTTTAACAATTATTTTATGTCCACCTTTTGGAACTTTGGTTTTCCTCACCGTTGCTATAAGGTTATGGTCGCTACAGCCGACTGGGACGGATACGGCTGTGGGCACAGATCACCAGCGTTAGTGAAAATATGGTCAATCAAAGTAGATGTTTTAGTTCCATCAGTTCTACAGCTTATTCGAGTTGGTTTAGTCACGAGCTGTGCTAAACCACATGCTTCAGCAATAGATTGAAGTTTGTCCTTCAAAGTACACTGCACTGCAAAAAATGATGGAATTAAAGACAAAAAGTACTCAAATTTTGCTGAATGTTTCTAAATTTGAGCACATTTTGACTGCCTTAAAACAAGATTTGCCAGTGGAACAAGAAAAAATATATTGTTTTAAAAAGATACAAGACATTTCTCTCTTGGAATGAGAAAATAAAGCAATAGTTCTTGAGTCAAGTCAAAATTGCTTGTCTCATTGGCAAATCTCGTTTTAAGACAGTCAGAAAGAACTTAAATTAAGATAAAAACTCGATTCAAGCAATCATTATCTCATATTTGATCATTTTTTGCAGTGTGCATCAAATTCCAGTCTATATTAAGGTCTCCCACAATATAGACTTCATTTTGACAATCACATACATTGTACATTAGAGCTGCAACTAACGATTATTTTGTAATCGATTAATCTATCAATTATTTTTACGATTAATCGAGTAATCGCTTGGCTGTGAATTGTGTAGAAAAAATGTATTTTTTCATCACAAAAAGCTAAAGTGGCAACACTCGAGGACGTATTGATGGCGTAAACTTAAAGTAAATGTTTGTAACAGGCTCTTTGTGCTAATTCTGCTCTGATTGGATGAGACAGACAGATATTCATGAAATTATAAAAACAAAGTCGGTTTTAATCAAAAATACTACATTTTCATGTCATTTTTGCTCTGTTTGAGTCCGTGTGAACCAGAAAACGATTAATCGATTACTAAAATAGTTGTCGACTATTTCAATAATCGATTAGTCGTCGATTAATCGATTAGTTGTTTCAGCCCTATTGTACATAAATCATCCAGATAAGCAGAGTTTGCATTGGGTGGACGGTAACAGCAACAAACCAGTAAGGGCTTTAAATAGGGAATATGGACTTGAATAATGCTTCGATATTGGGTAATGTTGGATCCATTCTTATTTTTACAGGTATTTGCTCTTGTATATAGAGAGCAGCTCCACCACCCTTTGCATTTCTGTCTTTCCTATATAAACTGTAACCTTGTATATACAATGAGGAGTCTTCAAATGTAGAATCCAGATGAGTCTCCGAGATTCCAAGAATATGTAAATTACCTTATTTTAGAATATTTGAAATATCTATATTTTATTTCTCAGACTCCGCACGTTCAAATGTGCCAATTTTAGTCCCTTCTAAGGAAGATTTTCAAAAGTCACCATTTTCAATTATTGATGATAATGAAATGTATTATTAACCACTAAAGTGCTGTAATCTCTAGCTTTACATTCATAGTAACTAGGTCCCAATTCAAAATACAGTATACATTGGAAATATATACACACACCCAGAGTCAGTAATCATCGTGATAACTAGTGCAGTAACGTTTCTCCTTATTGCCCCTGCTGTACAGAAATATTCCTTAGTCCATCATATTATACAATGCGTTCCCTTTAGTTCATTTCATATTACAGAACATTTCAATAGTCACTGTCCTCTGTTTGGCGCATGCGACATGTGACGCACGTCACCCATTCACCAAGCGTTGTCATCTTTGTCACGTGACCAGCATGTGGAACCAAAACATTAGTTACAGCGTTTAGTTTTGGAGGATTATGATCATGTATTGGGACTTTATGAATGAACATGGAGAACGTTGGGAACGTTAGGGTAGCTGACTGCTTATGTGACGTTCTCATCATCGATCAGAGCAGCTTGAGCCTGCGTTGTGTTTTCCAAAGGATTCTTCATCCTCTTGACTCTCGAGGACTTTTCCAACTTCACAGGATTCTGGAATACCTCGTGCTCATGGCCTTTGGACACTTTTATAGTGGCTGGATAAAGCAGGAAAGCTTGGTAACCCGCTTGACGAGCCTTTTCCATGACAGGATAGCAGGATTTGCGACGAGCCCGGTTGCGACGCTGTCCTTCCATCACCAGCGGTGAGTGTAAAATCTTAGGCACATGAAAATCATGGTCAAAACAAAAAACATAAAGAACAAAACATAAAACCACAAACAAACTAAATACAACAAAACATACACCAAAAGCATATACAAACAACATAAGAAACATAACAAACTAAGCAACACACAAAAAAAACAAAAACACAATCAGTATACACAAACCAAATCACACCACAAAAAATCAACACAATAAAAAAAAAAAATATCATACAGAGAAAACAAAGCAACACATAACACATAAACAAGATATTAAAATAAAATGTAAACCAAAATAAAAACACAAAACAAATAATTAACAAATAACACAATGAAACATATATAAAACACAACAAACAAATACAAAAAATCAAAAAACAAAACAAAACCAATAAATCACTATTAAACACAAAACATCAAACCAAATCACATACAATAAGAAACCTAAAAAGAACAACAACAGAACCAACACAACACACACATCACAAATCAATATCCAAAAAAAAAAACACACACACATATAAACACAAAAAAACAACACAAGATGATAAAAAACAAAAATCAAAATTAAATACACCAAAAATAAATAGCAAGTTAAAAAATAAAAAACAAATAACACAACTACCACATAAATAATCAAAAAACGAAAAAAAAAAAACAATACAACACATATAACCAACAACCATCAAAGCAACCTAAAGATGACATCAAAAAAAATAAAAAATAAACAAAACAAAAAAAAACAAACAAACAAAATAAAAAAGTCAATAAAAACAACAAAAAACAAAAATCAAACAACAAAATATAAAAAAATAACAACACAAAACCAAAAAAAAACAAACATAAAATAACAAAAAAGACAAAAAACAAAAAAAACAAAACACAAACAACATCAAATCAATCAGCAAAACAAATACAAACAAAGACACCCAACAAAGTATCAAAACCAAAACTAATCTAATAAGAACAGAATTACTTACAAAAACACAACAATATCAAACACAAACAACAAAAATCAAAAACAAAACCAGTCAAACTACATCAAAACCTCATTACCACACCAAAAAAAACAAAAACAACATTCAAAAAACACAAGAACAATCACCATTCAACAAATAAAATATCAAAATAACAAATACATGTCACAAAAATAAAAAAACACAAAGAAAAAACAACCATAAAAACAACAAACAACAAGACAAAATTCAAAACATTATAAATAAAACACAAGCAAAGAATACACAACAATCCAATTCACAAAAAGCAAAAAAAAATATCTAACACAAAAAAAATACAAAACAAAACAAACTCAACAACACAAAATAAAAATAATACAAAAAACACACATACAATAAAAAAAAAAACAACCAATCATTCATACAAAAAAAATACAACCAACATTGACAAACACAGTTAAAAATCAAAATCATAATACATCACAAATAAAATGAGATGACACAACAAAAACAATAACACAACAACAATCAGCACAAATATAAACCACTTTACACAAAAACAATTACAATAAACAACAAAAGACGAACAATAATTCACATATAGAAAGCATAAAAACAAAACAAACAAGAAAAAAAAAAAAACAGAAAAGAAAAACAGCGACAACAAATTTAACCATCAGTACATAAAAATACAACACATGGCAGATACAAACAAAGTCAAATCAAACATAACAATCACAAATACAACAAAAAACATTAATAAACACAAAAAAAACAAAAGAAACAAAATAAACAACAAAAAAAATCTACAATCAATCAAAATTACAAAAAAAAAAATAAAATATAAACAACACAAAAAAACAAATAATCAACAAACAATCAAAAATCGAAAAATATCATTCAAAAACACACACATACAAACAAGTTCAAAAAAACAATAAACGATCAACAGAAAAATCAAACACACACACAACAACATCACAGATGATCAAATCAACAAAAAACACAATACACAAAATCAAAATAACAAAACATTAATAGCAACAAAATAATTAAAAAAAAAACACAACATTAAAACAACAAAATACAATACACTAAACCACACAAACAATCTTAACAAAACAAAAACAGCAAAACAAAAACTTTTTCTCAAGAAGAACAAAAAAAAACAGACACCAAAAAAACAAAATGAATAAAAATCAAAAAAAACAATAATAAACCAAAAAAGTTATACAAAAAACAACTTCATACAATATAATGAAACAAACACAAATCAACACACAATATCAATCATCACAATAATCCAAAAAAAACAAAACAATATAAAATTCAAAAAAACAAACCCAGCCAAAATCAAATAAAGAACACCAAAATCAAAATCAAACAAAACCAAAAACAAATAAACACACAAAAATACAAAAGCAACCACAGAAACCAGCAAACCAAACAAACAAAATAGATCAACAGCATGAGAAAAAACAAATTAATACAAAAAACAACAACAGCAAAAAACACATTAAATCAAAATATAAAAAAAAAACCCAACATCAACATCAACAACATAAACGAAATACAAGAAAATCAAAAGCAACATATACAAACAATAACAAACATAAAAAAAAACATACAAAAAAACTAACAAATATAACAAACAAAAAAACACAACAACAATTAAATAACACAAGCAATCCAAAAACAACAACATCAACAAAACACAAATTAACAAAACAACAAAAAAAAACATTGCAAAACAAAAATTTGAAAAAATAACAGACATGCAATACGAAAAAATACAAATCAAACTATCAAAATCACACAAAAAATAAATAATTTTCACATCATCACAACAACAAAAAAAACACAATTTAATCAACATAATAAGAGCACAATAAATAACACCAAATAAAAAACACAAATCAACAAATATATCAAAACACTAAAGCACATAAACAAAATTAAAAAAAAAAAAACAAAAAACAACAATAACATTAAACAATCATCACAACATAACAAACAAAAACAAAACAATCACCAAATAACTAAAGTAAATTACACACAAAAATCAATACCAATACAAACACATCAGAATATAAAAAACAAATAAAACACAGCAACATCAAAACAACAAAAAACATACACTTCAACAAAAACAAAAAAAAAATAACTACACAAAAAAAAATCAAAAGAAACAACAATTCAAACGCAAATAATAAAAACTCACCAAACAAGACAAAAACTAAAAAACACAAACAAACACACAACAAGCGACAAAAGAACATCAAAAAAACAAAAAAAACAAAAAAAAAAACAATCAAAACAACACATCACAAAACAAAAACGAAAAAAACCATGACAACATCAATAAAACACATTATCAGGATTGCTAACATCAATCAACAAAAAATCAAATAATTTCACAAAACAAAAAAGAAAAACAAAAAAGAATCTAAAACACATTGAAATCCACAAACAGCAATCAAAAAAAAACAACATCAAAAAAGAAAAACCAAAAAAACGAAACAAACACATCAAACAACAATAAAAAACTCAAATCAATAAAACAAACAACATTCAATCATAACAAACAAGATACACAAAAAAAAATAGATCACAAAAGATATAAACATATAAAACAAATAAAACATAAAATAATAAACACCAACAATAAAACAAGCAACAAATGAACAAAAGATCAACACAAACAAACAAACACAAACCAAAAAAAAAACGAAAACCAGTTTCCAAACAAAAACAGAACAAAAAAACAAACAAACAGAGACACAAACAACAATCCAAAAGCAAAATAACAAAAATCATAAAGAAAAAACATAATCAAACAACAGACATAATAAAAAATAATCAAAATCAGATGAATACAAAAATAAAAAAGAAACAACAATAAGTAACAAGAAATCAGCAAAAATAAACACATAACACCAACAAAACAACACAAACACAGAAATAAACTAAACACACACTGACATTACAAAAAAATAAAAAAACAACATAAAAAAAACACAAAAAAAAAACAATAAAGGGGGATCCAAAATACAAAACACAATCATAAAAATATCAGATACATAAAAAATAACCACAAACACAAAAAAAACACTAAATACATAAAAGACAATTCATCAACAAAGATCACATACAACACATCACAACACACAAATGATAAAGCAAAAAATATCATCATAAAAATCAAACGAACAATAGAATCAAAAAAGCATCAAAAAAACAAATCACAAATGTTCAACAAATAAAACTAACAACGCAACAGCTCACAACAACAAAAAAAAATCAAAAAAAGATAAACTATAAATCAAATCATAAACAAAAATCAGAAAAAAAAACAGCACAAACAAACAAACAATCAAACAATAACAAACACCACAAAAAAAAAATAGCAACACATAAACAAACAAACACACAACACAACACACTAAAAAATTAGTACAATTCAAAAACATCTCAAAAATATAATAACAAATAAAAACAAATCACAACAACATCAAAAAGAAAAACAGCACCAATAGAAAATCAAATCAAAAACAACAAAAAAAACAGGCACACAACAATCAACAACAAAATGCAAAAAAAAACAAATACAAAAAACAATAGCTCAAGAACAAGATAAAGCATACAACAAAAAAGTAAACAAGTCGAAATAAAAACATCAAAAACAAAATCAAGGAAACTAATAAAATAAATAAATCACACACATCAATCAAAAAGAAATAACAATCTGAGAGATAATATGTACAAAAAAAATCAAAACCAACAAACCTAATGCTAAAAATCAAAACAAACATAAAAGAATAATCTTTCAATTTATAATAAAAAACAAAAAACCGACAAAAAAACAATCTAATCAAACAACACCAAACAAACAGAATCATAAACCAGAAAACAATTAAAAAACACCAAAACAAAAAAGAAAACAAATATACTAATCAATCAGAACATACAGAACACATCAAAAGCAAAAAACAATATAACAAACAAAAGAAAACATATCAAAACATCAATAACAAAA